CTCCCAGCTGGCGCCCCATGCTGCTGGCTCTGATTACGAGGCAGCAGCATGGAATGACCGGGGGTCCTCGGGAGTGGGGACAGGTTGCACTGGCTGCCAACCCCGCCTCCAGGGACTATAGAAGAGTCTAGTAACTGATAAGAATTCATGAGGTTACTCAACTTTTCAATTAACTGATGTTTTACATCCCTAGTATATACATCACTCCTCAGATATTTTTCCATACATAAATCTCACAAAGGTTATGATGACCAGTGTGACACAGACTTTCAGTAGAGACCTTTTGGGGATCCCTAGACCCCTACATTTCCCAGTGTCCTACTGCCAGTTGGCATCCAGGAGTTCTTGTGTCTGAGCAATAACTTCCTGAGCAAAATCTACACTGTAACAAGGCCCTGCTGGCTGCACTGTTGGTTTTAGTCTAGGTCATAGAATCATAGAATACTAGGACTGGAAGGGACCTCGAGGGGTCATCGAGTCCAGTCCCCTGCCCTCATGGCAGGACCAAATACTGTCTAGACCATCCTTGATAGACATTTATCTAACCTCCTCTTAAATATCTCCAGAGATGGGGATTCCACAACCTCCCTGGGCAATTTATTCCGGTGTTTGACCCCCCTGACAGTTAGGAACTTTTTCCTAATGTCCAACCTAAACCTCTCTTGCTGCAGTTTAAGCCCATTGCTTCTTGTTCTATCCTCAGAGGCCAAGATGAACACATTTTCTCCCTCCTCCTTACGGCACCCTTTTAGATACCTGAAAACTTCTATCATGTCCCCCCTCAATCTTCTCTTTTCTAAACTAAACAAACCTAATTCTTTCAGCCTTCTTTCATAGGTCATGTTCTCTAGACCTTTAATCATTCTTGTTGCTCTTCTCTGGACCCTCTCTAATTTCTCCACATCTTTCTTGAAATGTGGTGCCCAGAACTGGACACAATATTCCAACTGAAGCCTAACCAGCACAGAGTAGAGCAGAAGAATGACTTCTCGTGTCTTGCTCACAAAATACCTGTTAATGCATCCCAGAATCATGTTTGCTTTTTTTGCAACAGCATCACACTGCTGACTCATATTCAACTTGTGGTCCACTATAACGCCTAGGTCCCTTTCTGCCATACTCCTTTGTAGACAGTCTCTTCCCATTCTGTATGTGTGAAACTGATTGTTCCTTCCTAAGTGGAGCACTTTGCATTTGTCTTTATTAAACTTCATCCTGTTTACCACAGACCGTTTCTCCAATTTGTCCAAATCATTTTGAATTATGACCCTATCCTCCAAAGCAGTCGCAACCCCTCACATCTTGGTATCATCTGCAAACTTAATAAGCGTACTTTCTATGCCAATAGCTCCTAGTGGTATATGTTGGGATTGGTCCTGCCTTGGGCAGGGGGACTGCACTTGTTGACCTCCTGAGGTCTATGTGCGTGCGTGCTTGCGTGCGTTCATGTGAAAAATCAAGAAATCTCAGATTTATCCTCCTTCAGCATTCTAAATAGAAGTTAAATGAAGCAGCATGACATTTCATTGCATATTGATAACATCTCCCATATGATGGCTTCTCTCTCTATTTTTTCAGTCTTATTTCGCATCTTCACTATAGGACATAAACTAGAGCCACTGCATAAGAACCTTATTACACAACTTGTGGTAAGTCACTTTCCTGTGAGCTTGTCAAAGTATTTGGTGTAGCAGTCTGACTGTGTAAACTACAATACTTTAACTACTAGATTGGACATTAGGACATTAGGAAAAACTTCCTACCTGTCAGGGTGGTTAAACACTGGAATAAATTGCCTAGAGAGGTTGTGGAAACTTCTTCATTGGAGATATGTAAGAGCAGATTAGATAGACCTCTATCAGGGATGACCTAGATGGTACTTGGTCCTCCTGTAAGGGCAGGGGACTGGACCTAATGACCTCTCAAGGGCCCTTCCAGTTCTAGTGTACTATGATTCTAACATAGCTATTTATATGCATAGTAGGAGAATGGGAGGGTAGGGCCAGGAGTAAAGCAAATTGATCACACAGAACCTTATTTGGTAAGTCTAGGGCATGCAAAGAATCATTCAGTCATTTACCAGGGAATTTCCAAGATTTTGGAGGGTGACTGCAGTTCTTACAGAAGGCTTCAAGATTCATGTGGGGAGCTCCTGCTTTGTAGCATTTGAGAAGATAATAGCGCTGCATAGCGAGAGCTAGGCCAGTCTTTGGTAAGGTGGCTTCGTGAACCTGCAATGGGGAACAGTGCAGCCAGCAGGGCCTTCAGTGGGAACATTCAAACTATCTGAACAGTTGGCTCTTTGGTGGAATTTCTAAACTGTCACTGAAGACATGAAGGTTTTTCTGCAGAGACCTGCTGGCTTCTTTACAGTCTGTTTTAAACCAAAACAGTAGAAACAACTGATTATTAAATGATCATTTATCATCGTTCCGTTTTTAGAATGGAAAAATCAAACCTATATAATAAAATCACTAAGAAAAATTCATAGTACTACTTTCATTAAAATCAAAACCCCTTTTCTTTTCCAGACCCCAGAGGGCAGCATGGTACAACAGAATCTCATCTCCTTTTTCATGTCAAGCATCACCAGTCAGTCATTCAATTTACCAGAAGAAAACAAGTAAGTTTCCATAAATGTCCCTATGTATATATTCACAAAACCTCATACAAATCAGGCACTGAAATGAGATGTGGTGAGGCATTTTCTAAGGCCAGGTTTATACTATATCTATAAATATACACACACACGTAAATAAGATAGCTGGAGTCTATGTAACCGAAGCTGAGCTTGGCACCATCTCCATAGAAGGAGATCAATGGGAGGAAACACTCCCATTGATTTCCCTAACTCCTCTCAAACTGAGGAGCACTGGTGTCCACCAGTGCATTCCTCAGTGTTTGATTTAGCTGGTCCTTACTAGACCTGCTAAATTGAACACCGGAAGATCAATTAAGAGGGCTATTTCCCTTCTACAACCACCGTCTGGGGCATGTCTATGCTAGGAAATTATTTTGAAATAACTAAATTCGATTTAAGAACTCCCAGTTTTACAAAACTGAAATAGGGTGCCCCCACTATGGGGAAGCCTTGAAGTTAATCTGAGGCAGGCTCTGTTAATGTGAATGTGTTACCTCGACTTAGAGCACCAGGAAGCACTGGGTAGTAATTAGGTTGAATTACTCTGGGAAGTAGTCATTTCAGAATAGCAGCACTGGAGAGTCCACACTACTGCTATTTCGAAATAAACGTTATTCTCCAAGGAAAGCGTTAATACAGATTTTTAAATAAGTGGCTGGTTATTTCAAAATAACAAGTTTGGTAGAGGACACTCCGCTTATATATTCAACCTAAGGGGGTTATTTTGAAATAACAGCCTAATATAGATCAAGGCTTAGTGACCAATATGATCTATAAGCAAATAAATTCCTTAGATATATTCAAATTGGGTGTGAACACATCAGTCATATTACTCTTGAGAGGTCTCCAGAACACAGGCACATGGAATCAGGGCAGGTGCTCATGAAGAGGTGGGTGCAAATCTTGTCACAGGCTGATTAAAAGGCCTTTATTTCATAGTTAATCTCTATACATAACAATTCCAGATCTTGCTTTTTAAATCTAGCAGACAATAAGATTTGCCAGCAGAAGCCATGCTGATTAGACCTGCGGGTTGGTATCCAAGTTCTGATCTGGATCTAAAGTTGTCAGGAGTTTGGATGTGGGATTGTGTTCTGGTCTTTCCTCTTATTCTGATAAATGGAAACATCCCCTCCCCCCCCCCCCACCCCGTGAATGTAATAAGCCCTCAGATATTGCTCATTTATAGGAAGTTTCAATGCAGTCATCCCAATTGCAGAGAAGACAGTTTGGATTCAATTAATTGCTCAGCCTTTGTTTTGCCACCTGAATCATTGCCTGAAGTAGTGAGAGCACCAATCACTAGAGCCCTGCAAATCCACTTTGCATCCGTGGGTATCCGCAGCTCATTTTTGCAGATACAGATGTGGATACAAATTTGCTATCCGCGGAGGGCTCTACCAATCAGGCCCTTGGTATTCATTTTTGCCCTTCTTTCCCCTTCTAGTCTGGGCACCTGGAAGATTGTGGCCTGGTATAATGACACTCCCCAGAAGAACTTCAGTGCACAATTTGAGGTTAAGGAATACGGTAAGAATTCCCACCATTGGTCAGCACCTGCTTTGCCCATTCCCACCAGAAATGTCCCCTTTCAGTCTCCTGCCTGTCACGACCCATAGAGAGACCCATGTGCTCAGAGCCAAACACATAAGCTCTGCAGCAGAAGGGGAACTTGGTGCAGTTGCACCCCACAGCACGACGTATCCTTCTTGTACACAGCACGAAACAGGGGAGGTGCAGGTGTGCGACCCACACATGAAGATCTTCAATCCCAAACATAGGGGGTGCTGCTTCACCTAGAGTGGAGTACCCACACGGGGCACGTCCCATAGCAACTCAGTTACTGCTCGGGTGTGTAACCATCTCTTCTGTTCTTTTACTTCTCCTTCTAGCTCAGTTCTCTCTTCTCTCTTCCTAGTGTTGCCGAGCTTTGCAGTCACCTTGGAGCCCTCTGAGAAGTTTGTCTGCATCAACGATAACAAGGATCTTAAAGTTTCTATCAATGCAAGGTGGATCTGTGAGCTTGTGGAATGGGTCAAGGCATTATCCACCCACTTTTCTTCCTCGTAGCTTTTAGTGCATTGGTTACAAAAAGAAAAAACAAAACATGCTGGCAACCTCGGCTCCATGACGTGTGGGTGCAGAGTCCTGCCCTTTCCTCAAGATCGCCTCCTTCTGATTACCAAGTAGCAACTCTTAAGAGTCTTCTTTACTTTCTCTGGGAGCCTGGTTGATCTTGCAATTCCCGTCTCTGCGTTATTCAGTCCCCTCCTCGCCCCTGCCTCTGGCAGATCAAAGTCTTAGCTCCCTGCTTGCTGCTAATGGGGGTCTCTACAGGGGGCTTGTCTTCCACCCAGTTACAACCCACTTCACAAGCTGACTTCAGGAAGAGGCAGAAGCTGCCTGTCTTGCCTGAATGAACCCACCAAGCTGAAATGAGCCAAGACACCACACAGTGAGTACATGAGCTGCAAGCACAGCTCCCATTCCCCAGAACAGAGGCCTCTGCCACACGAATTCTCCTGCCATTGGCAGCAGCAATAGATCTGGCGTGCAGCATGGTGGGCTCAGGCTTTAAATGGAAATGTGATCCCATATGCATGCAGATGTGCTCACACACGCGTGCACACACACATGCGCACACACACACACACACACTTTTTGTACTAAATTCATACGTCAGTCAGTAACAATCCACGTGGGCATTAAGGGTACATCTAGATTACAGGGTTTTGTCGACAGAAGTGGACTTTTGTCAACAAAGCCCTGTAGTCTAGACGCTCTTTGTTGACAGAAGCTTTGTCGACAGTATGGGTACATCTAAACTACAGGGTTTTGTCGACAGAAGTGGACTTTTGTCAACAAAGCCCTGTAGTCTAGACGCTCTTTGTTGACAGAAGCTTTGTCGACAGTATGGGTACATCTAAACTACAGGGTTTTGTCGACAGAAGTGGACTTTTGTCAACAAAGCCCTGTAGTCTAGACGCTCTTTGTTGACAGAAGCTTTGTCGACAGTATGGGTACATCTAAACTACAGGGTTTTGTCGACAGAAGTGGACTTTTGTCAACAAAGCCCTGTAGTCTAGACGCTCTTTGTTGACAGAAGCTTTGTCGACAGTATGGGTACATCTAAACTACAGGGTTTTGTCGACAGAAGTGGACTTTTGTCAACAAAGCCCTGTAGTCTAGACGCTCTTTGTTGACAGAAGCTTTGTCGACAGTATGGGTACATCTAAACTACAGGGTTTTGTCGACAGAAGTGGACTTTTGTCAACAAAGCCCTGTAGTCTAGACACACCCCAAGTGTTCAATAAAACTTCCCAAAGTGAAATTTCTTATAATGAAAAGTTTTGAGACCCAGCTCAACCAACAAACCAACGCTGGGCGTGATGGTTCTTGTGCAGGTGCTTTTGCAGTTATTTCCACCTCCTCATCGGATGAAGTGGGTCTTACCCACAAAAGCTCACGCTGCTTCATATTTCTGTTTTTTACTGTTTAATTTGCTCCAGGGCTGGCCCACTTCAAACCAAGGGAAATGTGCATGTCCTGCTTCCGAACTTCCGGAAGTAAATGTCTTTGCCCTAATTCACAAGCCATCATACAGGTTCTCGGGCGGTTTTCTTGCATCTTTTCTTACTTGTCCTTTCCTCCGTCAGGGCCCTCAATGGAAAAGAATTGTACGGCACCGCTTTTGTCCTCTTTGGGGTGAAGGTGGATGATAGGAAGAAGAGCATCTCGCAATCACTTAAGAGAGTCCTGGTAATTCTCGGTTTAGGGAGGATTCCGGCGTGCAAGAGGCCCTGGGAAAGCGATGGGCACAGGATGATAATGCAGCTGAGATTCTCTTCAGCAATATGCCACCTTTTTCACTGCCTCTTCTCTTGTAATATAAGTCAATGCCAGGTCCCTCTCATTCTCCCCTCCAAAAACAATTTCTAGACCAATCGGTCGGGGAGGATGAAGTTACATGATCTTAACTCCATCCCATACTCTCATCTCCAGGGAGTTCGGATGGATAAAGCACTCACCTTCTCTCCCTGGTCCCATTAGGCCACCTTGCTCAGCCAGCTATGGGGGCTGCTCACGATACGGTGCCCAGGAAGTAACCCATTGGCCCAGACTTCTTTGTTCTCAGTGCTGCTGGGGGTGACACATTCCAGCCCTGCAGAGCCATGTCACCCTTGCTCCAGGCAGCTCCCTCTGAAGTCACCGCAGCTGAGAATCTAAAGGGCACACTTGCCATAAGGCAGCACCATTGCTCCTGACATGCAGGTAGCCAAAGTGCTGCAGATGGCAGCACCTGGTTGGTCATACAAAGCATCTCAAAAGCACCCTAGTGCAGAGATCCAGGGTTGGCTCTGTGCTTGGAGACATGGACTCTTCACGGTGCAGCAGGGTATTAATCATGAGGGTTGCAATCTGCTCCATAGTGTGCTCTTCTAAAGGCAGCCTTTTGCCTCCTGGTAAGATGTCAAGCTTAGTGATGTGGGGAAAATTTGAGTGTTCTCCTTGGAGTTATGTGAAGTTGCAGGCCAGGTGCGTGTGTGGTGTATGTGTTTGTGTGTTGTTTGTTGTTAAGAAATCCTTCTCTTGTTCTAGATAATTGACGGGGCTGGAGAGGCAGTGCTAACCAAGGCAATGCTACAGGCTCAATTTCCCAACCTCAGTGAGCTCATTGGCCATTCTATCTACATCTCTGTGACAGTTCTAACAGATTCTGGTGAGCAGGCGTTTTGCTTCTGAACGCCAACAGTCTATCAGTCGCGTTTATGGTCGGGCTCCCATGCGACCCTGCAGGCCACATCTTGCTCTCACTTGCACTGGCATGAACCAAGCGTAACCCCACAGGCTTCATGTCACACGGATGTCGCCGAGATTGGACCCTGGCACTGCCTTGCGTTGGGGCTACCTGGCGGGGTGGGCCCTTTCAAAAGCGGTTGGGTGGGAGGGTTTGTTAATAGGGGCTTTGGATAACTGCATGTGGTAAATCAAAGTGAAGTTAATTTTGAAATGAAGGAATGCAGACAAATCGCTACTCCCATGACCAGGGTGCCTTTTGATCTCAGGGTTATAACTCCTTGCTGGGTCATTCTTTGGGTGGCATTTTACACAAGCAATTGGACTGCACTTGTGACACTGGGTGGGGGGTTGGGCCTGAAATTCATCTCTCAGCCTGCAGCCAGTGTGTAAAAACAGGAAGTCTGGCTCTTTAAAATATGTAGAGGAAAACGAAGGGGGCTGACTCTGCTCACAGTTAATCCAGTTTCTGTCTGAAGTAACTTCCATCAGTAGCAGTGCAGTTAAACTGGACTGACACCGGAGCAGCTGAGATCACAGTCTAGCCAGAAATCCATGTTTACGTCCCCTACTCTGTGGCTTCCTTTCGCAGGCACTGAGACAGTAGAAGAAACAAATATTAACATTGTGGCGTCTCCTCCATATGAGATCCACTTCACAAATACTCCCAAGTACTTCAAACCGGGGGTGCCTTTTGATCTCATGGTAATAACACGTCTGCCAGGACCTGGGTCTTCTTTGTGTTAACAGGAGAGAGAAGGATGGATTCTTATCTCGTTTTCCCGGGCCTATACATTTGCTATAATGCCAAGCAAGCCAGTGGAATTACTCCAGTTGAGTTTGGTGCCATTCTGCCAGTGCATCTGGAGAGCTGAGGCTCTTGGATACTAGTCTGGGCCACCATGAGCCATTGAGGAACACAGATGCAGTAGGGCAGTGGATCACACTGAGACCATATGCCAGTACCTCAGTTTTTTGTGACATGGACTCTAGACTCCATCACCCTAATACACAGGGCCGGCTTTAGGAAGTGCGGGGCCCAATTCGAACAGTTTCGATGGGGCCCCAGCAGCCAGAATTTTTTGTTGAGCAAAGAAAAAAAAAACACCGCACACAAAAAAAGAGTCACGGCCCCTTTTATGTCCCCAGCTAGAGGCAAAGTCCCACCTTCCCGCCAAACCCTGGGGCCAATTCCCCCTCCCACAGCACAGGGAAACCCCTGCACTTGACTCACCCCTCCCGTGGTGCAAGGCAGCCGCCACGCTCCTCCTCCAAGGTCGACGCCCCCTCCCACAGCACGCCCAGCATGCCAGCACACTTCTGGCTTTGGGGCATGGGGCCCTCTTGCTTTAGGGGCGAATTGGGCAAATCGGACTAAAGCCGGCCCTGCCTCCCATCGAGTTACGGACAAGCCCTACCCAGCCTGTGCTGGTGAGGAGATTAAGAAAGTGATGAAGGATAGGCAAGGACTGAGGGGTAGGAAGGTGTCCTACAAAGGGGAAATGTGGATATGGGAGACTTAGTGGTTGGTGGAAGCTGGGAAGGGTGAGGGATGAGGGTTGCTGAGAGGACACTGCCGTTGGGGATAGAAGAGTGTTGGAAGGGGATTGCAGAAAGCACAAAAGGAATCAGTAGAATTTTCATCCACGTTTCTATTTAACAGTGACACTGACCTGTTCAGGTAGAATACACTGCAGGGGTTTCTGTGCTTAATACGAGTTGCCTCATCTTCCTTGCTACCTCAGGTCTCCGTCACAAACCCTGATGGGTCCCCAGCTGCCCAAGTCCCATTAACGGTCAAAGTCAGAGGACTACAGGATGCTACGCTGATTCACACTCTTGCAGATGGGACCGCGAAGTGGAATGTGAACCCAGCTGCGGATGCAACACAGTTACCCATCTCTGTGAGTAACCTTACCCTGGTGCGGGAGGCTGGGCTTGACAAACCCACCTGCTGGGTCATTCTTTGGGTGACATTTCACACAAGTAATTGGACTTCAAGTGTGGCACTGGGTGGGGGATGGGGACTGAAATTCATCTCTCAACCTGCAGCCAGTGTGTAAAACAAGGCAACTAGGACTGCTACTGTAGGATAGGGTAAAACCTGCTGCTCTGTCAGGAACTGAGCCAGCCCTTTTGAACAGTGATTTTTGCAAAGGACATAAGGGGCATGTCTAGATTACAGGGTTTTGTCGACAAAAGTCCACTGTTATCGACAAAACTATACCTGCGTCTACACTGCCACTGAGTTCTGTTGACATAACGTCGACAGAACTCAGCAGTTTTGTTGACAGCTGTAAACCTCATTCTACGAGGAATAACGCCTTGTGTCAACAGAGTTCTGTCGACAGAAGGCATTATTGCATCTACACTGTCCTTTGCATCTACACTCTCATGGCTTAGCGGCTTGCTTTGTCGACAGAACTGGCTGTAGTCTAGATGCTCTTTGTCGACAAAAGCCTGTAGTCTAGATGTACCCATGCTGTCTGAACATGCACCAACATGGAGGGCTGGCCAAGCGAGGGCTTAGAAATGGCCTACAGGGACCTAAGTTTCCTGTTGAAAACCAGCCCAGGTTGCTGGAAACTAGAAGTGACTACTACATAGGTGATCTGTTTGATCTGAAATGAGTTTGGTGGGTCTCAGTCCAGCTCTTAACAGTACAAGTGTGTTGTCTTTTGCTCATTACATGACAAATGTATCACAAAGGTCCCCCACAGGCATAAGGGGCTCCATGTCATTGTGTGTGGCTTGCTTCTGAGAACATGGCCCCTTTAGTTAGGTACCTAAATGGCAACTGAACTCTTGGCTTTCTGGAAAAAGGTGAATTTCAAGGAGTCATCAAGTGGCAGTGGATAATGAATGCAGCAGTTGAGTGCCACCCCCACAAGGCCCTCTTCCTACCTCACTTGCTACCTTGAGTTAATGAACAGATGTTCTTGATTTTTTTCTTGAATTTATGGACCAATTTTTATTTAAGCGTTTGGGACCAAATTCTGCCTCCATTAAACCTGTGTAAATCTGGAGCAACATCACTGCAGTTGTTCTGCATTTACACCAGAAAGGGTGTAAAGACCAAACTCAGTTTCAGATTTAGCTGACAACATTTCTCCCATCTCCGCACCTCTCTAAGGTGAAAACAGCCCTGGCGAACCTACCAGAGAACCAGCAGGTCTCTAAATCCATGGTGGCTAAAGCCTATCAGACACAAGAAGGATCTAAAAACTATCTCCATTTGCTGGTCTCGACTACCCAGGTCAAACCTAGAGACAAGTTACTTGTGAGTTTCCACCTGAAAACCGGTAGCCCAGATGGTCTGAACCAGATTCAATACATTACTTACCTGGTGAGTGGTTTTGTTCTTGACTACCGAGAGCTTGTTAAATCACAGCATGGTGAGGAATAGCAGCATGACCTTTATGGATCACATCTGCCTTGCTCAGAGTGTCCATCAGCATTGACCATCATTCCCAAAGTCTTGTCTCCAGAGTTTGTGGAGAAGTAGAATGCAGGGAAGCAATGGCCAGGAAGATGAGCCTAGAGGCGACGTATTGATATAGGCGCGGGAACTGAGGCGATGGGGGGTGCTGCAGCACTTCCAGGCTCTCAGTCTAGCATCTGGGGTCCTGGCTGCCAGCCCTGCACACTGGGGGTTCGGCTGCCAGCTCCACACCCAGCGATCCTGGATCAAGCCTCCCATGCTGGGATCCCTGCTGCCGGCCCTGTGCACTGAGGCTTTGCTACTGGCCTCAGCTGTGGATGGGGATGCACAGTGTTAAGGGAGCTCAGCATCCCCATTTTAAAAAATGTTCCCGTGCCATTGCAAGTTGAGTGGATGTACGGGGATGAGGATGGAAGTATCAAAGCCAGAGGGGTGGAGGTTACAGTGATCAAAGTTGAGAGATGACAAGAACCTGAACAATGTTTTTGGGTAGCTTGTACAAATAGGCAAAACTGCATCTTACAGAAGGAGACGCTGCAAAGTGCAGACGCTGCCTGGCTGCGAGGCCCGAGGTGAAACCTTTTGTCCTAGATCTGTCCTGGGTCCTTCTGCTCCTCTAGGCAGACAGCCCCAGAGAACAAATGCAATTCCTAAGCAAGGATTCTGCAGTTACTGGTGGAAAGGCCCTCTCCTCCTGCCCTTCCTTATTCAGAGCTCCTCTCTCCCAGATGAGAAGCCCAGAGTTTGGATTCCAGAGACTTCCCTGCTTTGCTCCTGTCTGCCAGGATGTTCTCCCTTCTCTAGTTCCACCTCCAGGATGATCTGATTGGACTGAGCTGCCCAATAGAAAGATCGCTGGTCATTTTCATAATGTTCAGCCACCCAGCCCCTTGCTCGTCCTTTTAGAGTCTGCTAGAAATGTTTGTGTTAAATAATTATTTATGATTATAATCTATGAATCTGGGGGTGCAAAGAGTGCCTGAAAATCAAGGCTATGGTATTTATCCTATAGGTTTTAATGGACAACTGAAATTTTCAAGTGACTGAATCTGGTCCCATTCCACAAAACGGATGGACGCAAAGATCGCTGGCTTTTGATAATCCATGCCTTGTGTTCCCCCATTAGATTCTGACTAAAGGGACGATCATTCATGCTGGAAGACTAGCAAGGCAGGTTGGAAAAACTGTGGTGACTATGTCCTTGTCCATCACTCCAAATCTCATGCCTTCTTTCCGCATTGTGGGTTACTATCACATAAGACAGAAGGAGATTGTGGCAGATTCAGTCTGGGTAGATGTCCAGGGAACCTGCATGGGAACGGTAAGTTGATCTTCTCTCTGATCCTCTGCAGGCTAGACGGAGTATATAAACTGTCATAGGAACGAACTCGAGGACTGTACTGCCTTGTGGTGGCCAGGGCTCCCTGAAACACAAAGCTGCTTTTACATTGTGGCCAGATAAAATAAGCACTCTCACAGTCAGTCATGGTACTGAACTACATTCAGATCTGTTACAGCAGTGTAAATCTGGGGGCACTCCATTGATGACAGGTTGTGAAATTACAAAGAAAATGAATGTCATTTTCTCATTGAAAGAAAGCTTGTAAACCATTCCTTCTGTGTTAAAACAGTCTCCCACTAAACTTTGTTTCAAACAGCTGGTCATCAAAGAGGCGACCAACGTGGGCAATAGAAACTCTGAACCAGGACATATGGTGAAAATAAAAGTAGAAGGTGATGCTACAGCACATATCGCACTGGCGGCTGTGGACAAAGCAGTCAATTTGCTGAACAAGAAACATATGATTACACAAACTAAGGTAGGCCATGAAAGAAATTGATAGAGATTGTAAATTGTGTGGCTTTAAAGCATGCAACATGCTGAGATGAGATTGAATTTTACCTTCATTTTATATTCTGCCTGGCGGTTCAAGAAAAGTAAAAGCAGGGATTTCTTTCCAAGAGTTTGTCCCTGTGCAGGGCTGGCTCTACCACGAGGCGAACTGAGGCGGCCACTTCAGGTGCCAGACTGTCGGGAGCGGGGGGTGCCACTAGCACCTAGAGTGTAGAGAATTGTGTCTACTGCTGGTGCATATGTAGTCTCTCTGCTCTAGATGCACAGAGATGGTGGAGTGCTGTGCTGGAGGAAGGAGGGCACAAGAGACCTTTCAAAGTCTTGGCCCAAGCGAGGAGGAATGGGGGCGACATTTGAGCTCCCAGCCTCAGGTACCAAAATGTTGTGGGCCAGCCCTGTCCCCGTGTGTATTGCAGTCTAGACACAAACCATCCGAGATTGGAGATTTTGATAACGTCGACCATTCAATCTGTGTATATACCCTGAGTATTCTAACACCCCATAACAAGGGCATAAAGGGCAAGGTAGGACCAACCATTGTTCTAGTTCCTTCTACACTTCCTCTCTCTGTCCGCAGAACTCAGCTCAGTTTTCTCTATACCTTTAGAATAATTTACTGTTAATGAAGTTTTCCCATTGACTTTAGTTTTTAAATTAGCTTAAGGTTTTTTATGTCAGAATCTGCTGTTTTGTTTTTTCTTGTGAACGAGACTTTCTCCTTAATAATGGCCATGCTCACTGTTTCCTGTTTAGGGGAATATCACATCCTCTCAAAGTGTAGTGTCAGTAGGTCATATTCTGAAAAACTAGAAAATTGAGGGAAACAAACATTGCTGCGAGACCTTGTGGCCGGTCTCAGACACACACAGAGGGATCAGAGCTCACTTTGCACTCCACATCTGTGAGCTCGTAAGTACCACACAGTTATACCTAGTAGGAAGATTGATTTAAGAAGAGTGGGGGTGGGACTTGTGGCAGAAGGGGGTGTTGTCTCAGTCCCTGAGCCCTCCCCCCCCTTTGGACAGCCCTGGTGGTTGCCAGGTTTATTGTTGATACAGCACAGTACTAGTGCCCCATAGAATCTACAGGTATACAAACACCTGTTCAATCACTTACCAGGATGCTCCCCTAGCTAGTGCAAGATGTCCCCCATACCCTTTCCTTTTGCACATTGATGCATTCAGCTTCCATACTCTGTTCCATATGCTCTTTGTTTTTCTGTAGTTTGTACTGACTACTTCAAGCAAAACCTCCTCATACACTGGCCTGGCATTCCCTCCTTATCTCACTGGGTACGTCTACACTAGCCCCCTAGTTCAAACTAGGGAGGCTAATGAGGGTGACCGAAATTGCAAATGAAGCACAGGATTTAAATGTCCTACACTTAATTAGCATGTTCCTGGGCGGTTGCCATTTTGGAAACTGACTAGCCCGGAATAACTGCCCATTTCTACACGCGGCAGTGAAACGGGAGTTCGAAGTAAACCCCTTACCTCGAATTAGCTGTTAAACCTCATTCCACGAGGAGTAACAGCTAATTCGAGTTAGGGATTTACTTTGAACTCCCGTTTCACTGCTGTGTGGAGACGCAGGCAGTTATTCTGGGCTAGCCAGTTTCCAAAATGGCGACTGCCCAGG